TGTTTTCCGTAACAAATACTTTTTCACAAAAGAGTTGATCTACTACATTTCTTTTAATTACATCTCTGTGCCTAAAAAAGGCAGATTTCGATCAGGTGATCTCAGCTGTGAAAAATTCKTGRAAAACAGCTGATTCTTTTGTTACTTGTAGGGTTATACAATGCCTTGTGACAACTTCGATTTCAAATCTTTATATACAAGACAACCCCGAAGTTAGCAGTATGATTTCCTCCAAAATTCTATACCACCACATGCTTTGAGTGCAATATGATTTGGTATGCTCACATTCTTGGCAGTTATGTAGTACATTGTACCGGAGCGTTTATTTTGTGTTATCCTTCAACTGTTACTCTACGATGGAGCATATATTTCAGATTATATATGGGATCCGTTTCATTTTTTATTTAATTAATTAGAATTAACAACAACAACAATTACATTTTAAGGATTGGTTATGGAACTTTGTTTCTAATAAATATATTTACATCAGTTTTAATACCAAAACCGCATTCTTCCAATTCTTCTTTGCTAGACTCTACGACGGAGACTTAGAATTCTTCAGTTGATAAGAATAAAAGTTCTTGTTTTTATTTTTTTATTTAATAGAAATTTAACAATTCTCATAAAACTTTTTTCAGTGCAGGACTTAATTTTTGTTTCATCCATATTGCCTTTTTTCAAAAGCACTGTATAAAATTACTAGTACCTACATTTTCACTTAATTTAGCATTAAGAGCATTTGAGCTCCGTGGTGGTACCCTTTGCATCATCGTTAGGCTCTTTTCTCAGTAAGGCAAATCTGTTGCCATTAAGAATTTCAGCTTTTTACTATTTGGCGTGCCAGGTTGAAATTTTTGGTTATTGACCGCTGATTTAATGGGGCTCGATTTTTTTTACATTAATGAAGCGATCAGTACCAGTCTGAACTTATGGACCTTTTTTGCTTGGTACATTCACCATGCATTTGTGGCTCCTGTCAGTGGATTTGTTGTTGCCCGATTGCTGTTTACTGCTCTTATGACTGCGCTTGCTTAGCATCCATTTCAGCTGATCGCTGCGACGATGACTCATCATGGCCGTTACATTTGTTCTTGCCAGCTGTTGCTGGCTCGACAAAGCTAAAGTATGTATTAAAGAATGAATACGGTTTTGTTGATGAGGCTGCGAAGCACTCGTTATTATTTTTTTATACCCTAAACAGGGTATACTAAGTTTACCACGAAGGTTGTAACATCCAGAAGGAAGGGTCGGAGACCCTATAAAGTATGTATTTAAATGATCAGTATGTTGAGCGGAGTCGATTTAGTCATGTCTGTCTGTCTGTATATATACGAACTAGTCCCTCAGTTCTTAAGATATCGTTTTTCCTCTTAAAGAAGCTGCTCATTTGTCAGAACTGCTGATATCGGACCACTATAACATATAGCTGCCATACAAACTGAACAATCGGAATCAACTTCTTGTGTGTAAAACTTTCACATTTGACAATGTGTCTTCACAAAAGTCGGCACTGGTTATTTTCGAAGATAATAATGTAACGTTTGCATTTGACGAGATATATTCACGAAATTTGGTATCGATTATTTTGTAAGGCAACAATGTAATCTCCGAAGAAATTGTTCAGATCGGTTAACTATAGCATATACCTGCCATACAAACTGAATGATCGGAATCAAATGCTTGCATGGGAAATCTTCTCATTTAACGAAATTGGGTATAAGTTATTGTTCAAGTAATGTAAACTCCGAAGAATTGTTCAAATGGGATTACTATAGCATATTCATTACTATAGCATATTCATTACTATAGCATCGAAGTCAAATGCTTGCATTGGAGACTTTTTCAGTTAACGAGATATATTCTGAAAATTCGTCGTGGTTTATTTTCTAAGGCAACGCTACAATAGTTGAAGAAATTTTGTAAGTCGGGTAATAATGCCATACAAAACGTCTAAAAGATCCATTTTCTTTATTATTAAATAACCTTAATGTTTCTAGCAAATAACCTGCCTGAAAAGGACTAGTAAATTGTTTTCGTTTTAATGAAAACCACTGGCCGCTTACGTCTTTAAATTTAGTTAAGCACTTAGTTACTAAAATAAATGCAGTCGAAGTTAACGTTTTCTCTTGTTTCTTGTTTTTGTGTGCATTGGTTATTATTTGAAGCTTGTTTTTAATTTGTTATTATTCTTTGTTTACTTTTGGAAAAATCAGAATACGCGGAGCGAATTAAAAAACACGTCCACACATCTTGAAAACTTTCTTTATGTCACAAACAATTATCTCGAAGGCTTTTTTTTTAACATTCTAAACGTTTCTACACCCGCATACATTTTAATGGAACTTCTTTGTTGAATAATTTCGCTCATTGTAAAAATCGCCGAATGGATTTTATGTAGCAGAGAATGTATAATATAGAGAAGGTTCACCGCGTTGCCAAATTTACGATATTTCATTTTTTGGAGGGGTACTCTTTTCTATTAGTGGATTTCACCACAAAAGCAGGGGTATCAATATTTAACAGGAGCGTCGAAAATAGCAGAGTTGAGCATTTTCAGTGATAAATGAGAAWAATTATGCTAATTTCAATGTTTAGAAATGTACGCTTACAGATTCGCATATTTACAATGCGCAAGGGACTATAGATATCATTTATATGTAGATATTCTCCATA